GAGCTCTGCTGTCTAGTGACAAGGCACTTTGGCCCAGCCTGCTGCCTCATCATTTCAGGTGGCAATCAAGATCATGTCACTTGAGGAGGGGATGTCCGAGGAGCTGGCTGCCAATGAAATCCTGGCCATGAGGGACAGCAGGAGTCCCAATATCGTTGCCTACTTAGACAGGTTGGCGTATTCTCGTGTCAACGTAGCTTTAGGTAGTGCAAGCCCCAAGATACAATGCCCTTTGGTCACTGGCAGAGAAGGGAGCTGGTGATGATTTCTCTGCTGGTTTCCAGAGTGTGGGAGGAGGTGGAGCTGGTTCAATAATCTCTTGTGGCACACGTAGCTTGGAGAGCAGTTGCAAAAACCTGGCTCAGGCCCTGGGGTGACTGAGGCTGTGCCCATTGCTGTCTCTCCATGCCATGGTTTTCTTCTTTCAGCTACCTGGTGGATGCGGAGCTCTGGCTGGCCATGGAGTTCATGGATGGTGGCACCTTGTGTGATGTGCTCGGGGCAGTGTACCTGGAGGAAGGACAGATAGGCGCTGTCTGTCAGGAGGTAAGGGATCCCACTTGTGCTTCCCCAAGCCTGCCCAGGATGCTGCTTGCCAGCTGGAGGTTAGGGAGAGCCGAGATTTCTTGCTCTCACCTTTCCTTTGCTGCTGCTGCTGCTGTCACGACACACAGGAGAAGAAAGAGCATGGGAAGTGACCTGCCTGCTGCTGTCCCCGCACTCCTCAGGCTCTGTTCTTGCACTCCTCCATCCTGTCTGTCCTGTGGCACTGGTGCTTGCTCACTTGCTTGGTTTCACTTGCTTCCTCTTCTCAGCTTTGCCTGGCAATGTTTTCCTGGAGTCTGTCTGTCTGTCCTACATTCCTTGCCACTGGAAGACAGCATGCAGGTGGCAGAATTTCAAGCTAAGGGAGAGGAGCTGGCGTTAGCTTCAAAGGACAGCATTGCAGCCCCGATGGCGACAGATTCTGGAACAGCTCTAAGGTGCTGCTTCCTCCTCTGCTGCCACTAGGCTTCCCCAAAAATTTTTGCCGTGCTGCCTCCCAGCCAAAGGTGGCGCGCTTCCTACCGAAGGCTGGTAGAACTTTTGGAAGCCCAGATGCCTTTGCTTGGAAATCGAGAACAAACTTCCAAGAGTTTTGAAGCAGCGAGCTCTTCTTGGTAACAGCACCATGATGCTGCACCCTCGCTCACAGTTGCCTGAGAAAGCTGTCAATCCCATCGAGCTCTTTCCTTTCTGGTGGGATGAAATCAGATCGTTCACGTTAACTTTCCCTCCCTCCTTGTACTCTCTCAGTGCCTGCAAGGACTGCATTTCCTTCATTCCCGCCAAGTCATCCACAGACACATCAAAAGCAACAACGTCCTTGTGGGCATGGATAGATCTGTCAAGTTGGGTGGGTATCCCTGCTGGGCTGCAGCATTTCCAGCACATACCGTGCACTTGGATTTTGGTGAGTGCCACTTGGGCAGAAGCGCCGCTTGGCCAGTGCGTGAATGGTGAGGGTGTTTTGGAAGTGGCCGATGCCTTATTTGCCTGGCTCCAGGCACGTGGCAGGAGAGCTCAGCTGCTTTTTCAGCTCGATTCAGCATGGCCCGGTCAGGGTTGGAGTGGGCAATGGTTTTGGCCACTTTGCCAGTGGTAGCTGGCTTTGACAGGCTTTGTTTTTGTCCTCAGGTGACTTTGGCCTCTGTGCTCAGCTCAGCCCTGAGCCCAGCAAGCACAGCTCCAGCGTCGACACTCCCAGCTGGATGGCACCAGAGGTGGTGAGAGGAGAAGCCTACGGCCCCAAAGTGGACATCTGGTCCCTGGGGATCATGGGGCTGGAAATCGTGGAAGGGCAAGCTCCTTATGAGGGGGAAGCCCGTCTCAGGGTAAGGTGCAGCTTAGCAAGAGGGCTCTGTGTGAAGAGAGCTGATGTGGCTAGCAAAGGAGCAGGTGCAGTGTCCTCTTGCATCCATGTGCTGTAGGTTTATGAACTGATAGAAAGGAATGGGCCCCCAAAACTGCAGAAGCCCAGGCACCACTCGGCTCTCCTGCGTGACTTCCTCTGCTGCTGCCTGCAGGCAGACGAGGACAGGCACTGCTCTGCCCAGGAACTCCTGCAGGTAAGAAAAAGCAAAGGGGCAAAAAGCCCTGTCAGCTGAGGACACCTGCACGAAGGGATGAGGAGGAGTGTGGGCCAAGTGGCGTACACAGCTCCCAGGACAGGAAGGCGCAGGGGGACAAGCTGCCCTTGGTGCTCTTTGTGTCTTCCTGGTAGCCAGGGAATCCTGCTTGAGCCCATGAGGGTGGGATCCTGGAAAGTAAAAGTTCCTTTCTTTGTTCTTTATCTTCTGGGCAACATCCCTTTGTGACCTCAAGCGATCCTGCCTCCAGCCTGGCTGCTCTGATAATTTCAGCCAAGCAAGTGCAGGAAGACTGGAGGGGAGACACCTGCGCCTGAGGAGGCCCTTATGCCCCGCCAGCTGAGAGGAGGGAAAAGGGGATGTGTCATCTTGAGGCAGAGCTTCAGCCATCCCCCAAGTATTAAGAGGAGCTGTGCCCTAGATAGGAAATGTGATAGTTTTCATATTTGCTCAGTTTAGGTGTTAGGTTAGGTTAGGTTAGGTTAGGTTAGGTTAGGTGTGTGTTAGGTTCAGTTTAAAGCTGTGTTGTTTTTTCTTTCTCAAAAAGATGGAAGTTGAAAAAAATTAGGACATAGAGGGATCAAGTTTTAAGGACTGTGAAACGTAGATAGATAAAAGAGGATTGTTTAGCTTAGAATAGAGTGTTGTAAATTTAGGAAAGCTTTTAAGTAGAAATGAAGGAATTGTCATAATGAGAATTAAGCTGTGAGAGGAAAAGCTGGGCTGCAGCCCAACTGGAGCCTGCAGGCGTTTCAAGCTGTCAGCCTGAACAGGCCACCTGCAGGACAGAAGGATGAAGATGCAGAAGTTGTGAGGGGATACTTTGTTTCAGCCCGAGTGCCAATAAAAGTCTAAAATATCCCGAGTGTTGTTAGACTCCCTTTCTTGCCAGGCTGTAGCTAAGTGGACAATCCTTTTCAGAGGCCCAAAGAACAGAGGCAGGTAAGCAGCTTTGCGTGCCTGAAGTGTGGAATGCCCATGGGAAGCTGCGAGACTTGCGGGTAATGAACACCAGGAGATGAGCTCACATTCAGGACAACACTAGGAGGCAGATGTGCAGTCCTTTCTGGGCCTCTTGTCTTGAAGATGTCAGGGTGATCAGCAGCAATCACCATTTGGTTCCCACCCTCCTCTCACTATGTCACCTATGGGATGGAGTGGCATTGTCATAGCGGCTTCTGGCCCTTCCTCCCTGATTCTCTTTTCCCCCCTTTTCAGCCCAGAGCCCCAGGGACCATCTGGGCCAGCCTCATCCCCCACGGGTGTGTGCAACCACCAGGGCCTCCTCAGAGCCCCATTCCCACTCTGCTGCCTCCTTGGCCTTTTCCCACATCTGGGCCAGCCTGCTGTTGCCAGCTGTTGGGCACACACACACAGAGCATACCACACCTGTCAGGGAGCAATTTGATGCAGGAGACCCTGCTAAACACGGCTCACCAGCCCGGCACTTTTCCCACCCAGCTGTGGCTCCATTTGGACTCCATCTGCTGGGATACCCACTGCGAGGGACTGCTCAGGGACTGGATGCTCCTCGAATGGTGCCCACAGGCCTGATTTCCATGGCTCCCCATTCCCCCTACCCCTAAGGGTGCCTCAGCCTTCTAAACACAATTTTTCTTACTCTAATGGCTTTTTGTGCTTTACTTCATACTGTAAGCAGGAGTACACAGTTTTGATTGTCTTTAATCTAGAATTAATAAAAAGAAGTTGGAAGTGCTGCTAGAGTTTGTCATTTCAAACTTGAAGCAACTGCAAAAAGTAGAGAAGCTTTCTGTGCAGCTTTTCAGTTAATTTGAAGTCTCCTTCCTCTTCACTCAGTTTCAGCATATCTGTTGATTTTCCTTTGCTGTCATCTTTTAAGCTTCATCACTTGTCTATCGATCTGTAAAAAAACCCTGTAAACCCAACGCAAATTTACTATCCTTTGTATTTTTCCTCTTCTGGAAAAGCTGAGGCTCCTGTGATCTTCTCCCGTGATCTAGACTTTGATTCCCATCTTGGCTCTGGCTAAGAGCAGAACAAATGGAATTTATTACCTGCTAGTAAGATCTGCTAGCAAAGGTGACAGTTAGAGCTAAGCATGGTGCTTCTCTCCCTTTGTTGAACATCTTTGTGTCTAGGCCTGGGGATTTCCAGGAGCACCTGGAAGCTACTGCCAAGGACAAAAGTCTCACTCTTGCTGGTTTGGACAGAGATTTTTTGGTGGGATTTTGATCTACATCTACAGTGACCTACAGGAACTGGATCTTTGACACAAACTGCCTTTAGCAACATTTCAAAGCATAGTGGGCAATGAAGTCCAGATACTAATGAGTTGTGGTTTGTTTGAACTCTGTGTAACATATGGTACAATATCCGAAAACATGTTATTTTTGAGTGTTTCAGGCATTTAAAACTTAGGCTTATTCTTGTCAAAACTTTTCTTTCTTCCCTTCAGAAATCTGCATGCCCCGGTACTAATTTCTTTCTCAGTTTGTTGACAAGTTACCTGTCAGGCAATACTTGTTTCTTGACCCAGAGATGGGGCAACTGTCACCATTGGGCCAGACATGACATACACATGTGATCAGGGCCCAAGCCAGGGTCCAATAAAAATGTTTTTTTATTCTGCGTGTTGTCCAGCTTATACACTTTTAACAAAGCGTGATCTTAAGTCCGCCGCTGGCCTTGGCTCACAGGTGGCCATCAAGCGAGTGTCCCGGGAGCGCATCTCGCAGTGGGCACGGCTGGGGAGTGAGCAGGGCCAGCGGGAGGAGCCGGCGGGGCGTGCCGGGCGGGGCTGAGGTGAGGCCCGGCAGGGCAGCAGCCGGAACGCTGCGAGGGCAGCGAGCATGGAGTGAGCGGGGGCCGTGCAGCGCCCCGGGCCAGGCCATGGCGAGCTGTGGCGGGGCCGGGCAGGGGCTGCCCGAGGCACGGCGCAGCATCGGCCCCGCTGACGGCATCATTGTCCCCTCACAGTGCAAGGGCGCCCTTGTGCCCCTGGAGCCGGCGCTGTTGTGGAAGGTTTCATGGCCTGGCTTCCGCGGCGTCGTGCGGCTCCTGAACTGGTTCGAGGTACCCGAGGGCTTCGCGCTGCTCATGGAGCGTCTGGAGCACCGTCAGCACCTCTGGTATTTCCTGCACGAGCGGCAGTTCCTGACGGAGCCCATGGTGTGGGGGCTGCTCTGCCAGGTGCTGGAGGCCGTGCGGCGCTGCAGCAGCCAGGGCGTCCTGTGCCACCACATCAAGGCCGAGAATGTCCTCGTCGACCTGGCCACGGGCGAGGTGAAGCCAATCGACTTCGAGTGTGGCACAATCCTCCAAGACACATTCTACACCCCGATGTCAGGTGAGCCCAAAGCCGGGGCCCAGCAGGGCAGCAAAGTTCCCCCCTTGGCTGGCAGAGGGGGAAGAGGGAGCGAAGGAAGGAGGGAAGGAAGGAGGGGGAATCCTTCTTCAGCCAGCTGCAGCCAAGTTGCTTTTTGGCAGGGCAGGGGCTGGCTGTTGTGGAACGGGAGCTGGCTGGGAGGGAGGGAGCAGCATGGGCCTGATGAGCTGTGCTTGTGTCCCATAGGAACACCGGAGTGCAGCCCACCAGAGTGGATCCTCTTTGGCTGCTACCATGGCCAGCCAGCCACCATCTGGTCCCTGAGCATCCTGCTCCATGAGCTGGTCTGCGGGCACCTTCCTTTCCACACCAACGAGGACATCGTCCAGGGCCAGCTCTTCTTCCCGCCCTGGATGTCTCAAGGTGGGGATGCGCCTTCAAGGCACGAGGGGAAGAATGGGGTTGGGAGGAGCAGCTGGCACATAAGCGTCCTGCTCTTGCAGCTGGTGAGGAGGTGGATCTCCTGGGCTCAGCTGGAGGAGGTGGCACCTGTTCCTCTGTGCTGGTGTCCTCCGCAAGAGAGTATTGATAGGAAGCTTTTGGCTGTAGCTGTGAGCACTCCTGGTGGCCTGGGCATTGTGGAATGTGGGAGAGCATGGACAGGAGCCTTGTCCCGCTGAGCAGCGGTTTCTGGTTTCTCTCCGCAGAGTGCCAGCAGCTCATCAGGTAGTGTTTATGCATGGACCCCACAGAGAGGCCATCACTGGAAGACTTTTTGAGCATTCTTGGCTGCAGGAGCCCTGCCTGGCCCAGGAGACAGCAGAGATGCATCCCTGTGCACAGTAGGATCCAGGAGCCAGCAAGTAGCACCAGCACGTGTCTCGTGGCACTGGAAGAAAACCCCGGAGCGTTTCCCTGCGGCTGTGGCGTGGAGGAGAGGGCGCAGCCGAGGAGATGCTTCCGCTGGTCCCCACGAGCTGTGGAGGGAGCGGATCCATGCTGCCCGTCCCATTGGAGAAGTGGTGGCAGTGCGGTGAAGGTGCCACGGACTGGGACAGGAGAAACATCCCCCTGCAGCTCAATGGCATCATGATGTCCCCTCAAGCCAAAGCACAGCTGGCGTGTTCTTCTGGAGCACGACTCCTTCCTGAGGGGGGAACACCCCCTCAGGAAGCTGGCTGGCTACCCCAGGATGTCGGCTCTGGCCTGGGCTGAGGGATGGTGGGTGATGCTTTTGCCATTCATCTGCTCTGCCAGGAATTTGAACTTTAGACAATCACATGCCGTTATGTGGTTTCTCACTAGTTTTATAGATTGGAGAAGTCACTGTGTTCCAGAACTGTGGATAGATGGTGAGTTTTGGGAGGGAAACGGGAGCTGCCCACAGGGAAACGGGAGCTGCCCACAGGATCCGGGTGCTGCCATCAGGATCCAAGCACTGCCCTCAGAATCTAAGAGCTGCCCTCAGTTTCCAGGCACTGCCTACACAATCCAAAAGCTGCCCTCAGGATGTGGGTGCTACCTGATTGATCTGAGCACTGCCCTCAGGATCCTGGTGATGCCTATGGGATCCAGGCACGGCCCACACGACCCAGGCTCTGCCCACAGCATCCAGGAGCTGCCCTCAGGATCCAAACTCGGCCCAGACGATCCGGGCAATGCAGTCAGGATCCAGGCTCTGCCCACAGAATCCAGGCTCTGGCCACATGATCTCGGCACCGCCCTCAGGACGCCATCTCGCCCCCACGGCCCTCCCTCAGGGCAGGAGGCGGGAACAGAGGGGCCTGAGGAGAGTGCGGACTGCGGCAGGGCTTGGTTTCATTTGTCTTTGTTTCTTAATGTCCAGGGGCTTTGAACCTCCTCATTTTTCCTTGTAGACCAAGCCCAGGTCATCCAGCCTGGGGAAACCACCCTATAACAGAAACAACCACGTTCTACCAGGGTCCTGCAGGAAGGCAAGAATGGCAACAGGAATTTGCACACTGGGTTTTTCCTCAAGGCCCTGCACCTGCAGCTGTGCCTGGAAAAGCAGCAGACACGGAGGCGAAATATTCAGAAGCATGCAAAGACTGACTCCATTAGCCCGTGCCGCTCTTAAGTCAAGCTTACTGCATCAGTTCATACCACGACAAAACTGATCCTAAGGAGATCCTGACAAAAATCACATCTAAACCCAGCTTTAGCCCAGACGTCACAGCAATTCAGAGCAGCATTTGAGCAGTTTGTACCACTCAGAAGTACCTCAAATGAGCACATGGTCTCCTAATGATGAGTTATCTGGGGCTTCCTTGCAGGTAGCAGTGAGATTCCATGTCAGAGATGAAATTTCATGACAGTCCTTTCACTGGGCCAAAAGGGAAGAACAACTTGAACTTTGGATCACCCAAATGGAGTGCAGAGGCCCTGAGACTCTTGTATTTTGGTAAAAATCAGGAATATTCCCTAGAAAACACTTTGTTCTTTGAGGGAATCTCCATTACGCTTCCCCAGAACTGCAAGGCTGCCCAAGCAACTAAACAAGGCAAATAGTTCTGCATTTAATTTCAAAGTCACAGTCCTTCAATATCATCTGAACAGAGAGGACACTGTTTAAGTGCGGGCAAAAATCCGTCACCTTCTTGAAGAACTTTAGGCAACACCCAACCTTGATTCTCCAGGACTGAGCACAGCCAACTAGACTTGGCAGATAAAGGGCAGATGTGTGTTTGTACCTGGGCTCCCTGATTGCTATTCTTATGTTGGGTAGCATTACTGGAGGATGCTGGCAACAGTTTCACTTCAGGCAGGGCCATAAAGATGTGCTGAGGCTCAAGCTTTTATAAACACACATCAGGACCTGTGCTTGGGGGATACTTCCCCTGTGTGTATGTAGGGAGCAGTGAGCTCATCCAGGGGAAGTAAACATGTATCCCTTATGTCTTACTTCTCTTCACCCTTTCTTCTGGCTGGAAGTGTGAAGAACTGTAGGGAAAAATTCCCTCAGAAAGCAGACATGAACCGCCCCAGGGCTGTGGACGATGTTGGCCCTGGCCTGGGCTGAGGGAAAGTGGGTGATGCTTTTGCCATTCATCTGCTTTGCCAGGAATTTGAACTTTAGACAATCACACGCCATTATGTGGTTTCTCACCAGTTGTATAGATATGAAGAGTCACCATGTTCCAGAACTGTGGATACTGGGTGTGCTTGGGAGGGAGATGGGGGCTGCCGGCATGATCTGGGCACTCCCCACACGATCTGGGTGCTGCCCTCAGGACACAGGTGCTGCCCTCAGGATATAATATCTGCCCTCAGGATCCAGGCACTGCCTGGACAATCCGGGCAATGCCCTCAGGATCCCAGTGCTGCCCACAGGATCCAGGAGGTGCCCTCAGGGTCCCGGTGCCACCCAAAGGATCTGGGCGCAGCCCACACGATCCAGGTTCATATCACGACAAAACTGAGCCTCAGGGGATCCTGACCAGAATCACATCTAACCCAGCTTCAGCCCAGACGTCACAGCAATTCAGAGCAGCATTTGCGCAGATTGTACCTTTCATGAGATGAACCAAATTTGGTATTCTTAGAGAAAGATACAACAAGGCAAAGGCAGACTTGAAAGGGTTTGCAGTGTAGGACTTCCAATCACATTAGGAAGGAAATCTTTTGAATTCAACTATAGCCAAAGAGACACTGAAGTAGTTCAGCCTATCACGGGTCTTTGGTCTCTTTTGTTTCAAAATTCTGTTCCAATAGCTCATGAGCAGATTCTTTTCCTTTGCCTCATGAACCTTGTGAGTTGCCTCGCGTATTACTCTGCGTGATAAAGTGAGAGAGATGGACTCCTTGTACTCCTTGTCTGTGCCCAGAGCCCTTGGAGACACTTGGGACCCCCTCCAGATCGTGTTCCCCTTTGTGACGTGAGGCTTGCGTGTGCCCAGAGCCCATTGTGACGTTTGGGGCCGCGCCCTGACCAGGACAGTATAAACAGGGGCAGAGAGCCCGGGGGTGCCACTCCCAGGAGAGCAGCTCCATCAGGAGCCAGCATCTTCCCGGGCGACGGCAGTGTCGGAGCGACTCCGAGATGTCCACGGACAAGGAGACGAGCACCGACGCGAAGCCCAAGCAGAAGTGGCTGGCGTTTCGCCGGAGGCAGGGGGTGAGGGATGGGGCAGCACCTCAGGAGGCCGAGGAGCAGCGTGACTCCTGTGCTGGCCCTGGCGCGCAGGCGGCGGCAGCAGAGAGCCGGGCAGCGGCCCCGCACAGCCGCAGGGCCCGCGGCCGGGCTCTGCTGGGCTCGCTGCACCGCGGCTCCCGTGCCATCCTCAGCAGGGTGGCGGCTGTGCTCCGGCGACGCAGCCGGCAGCCGGGGACACAGCGGCACGGGCATCAGGGCATGGAGGCAGTGGCGGCAGCGACAGCCCCGCAGCAGGGGCACAGAGCCGGGCGGCTTCCCTGCACTGCCCCAGCTGTGCCACCACAGCCTCGCCCACCCCACTGGAAGCTCTCGGTGGGCAGGGGGCATGGGCAGCACTGGGGGCTGTCCTGACAACACCAGATAGTGAGGAGGAGGCCTGGGAAGCAAGCAGCCCCAAAGAGCTGTCCCAGGGGGGAACAGGACCCAGATCAGAGAGGCGGAGAAGTGAGGCCCCCTGTGAGGCCAGGCAAGGCCAGGATAGAGCGCAGCAACATGCCCCCGTGCACAGCCTCAGGCCAAGCCTCAGCTCTGCCCAGCAGAGCCTCTCACAGCTGGGCAGAGGACTCCAGTTGTGAAACAATTCTGGGTCTCTTGCCCCCCAGCCCCTCCCCAAGCCAGGTGGAAGCTCACAGGCAGTGGGCAATAGCAGCAGCAAAGATCCTCCTGGCAGGGCTGCCCAGCGAGGAGGGGGACAGCTCAGAGGATGTCCAGGGCGGCAGCAGCAGCAGCGGGGATGAGAGTGCCTATGTGTCCTGTGAGGAGGAACCAAAAGCTCTGGTGCCATGCAAAGGCACAGGACACCTAGAGCTTACTCCCCAAACCAGAGATCAAGCAGCTGCCAAAGGGGATGCCGGGACGAGCGAGGAGCTGTCAGACGAGCAGGGCAGCAGGGCCATCACTATCTGCCCCATCTGGGTGAACCCCTGCTACCCACAGCTCCTGGGGCAGCCCGACACGGCCCAGGAAGAAGAGGCGTGTGGGGACCTGCCCGGCACATCTCGAGCCCTGGCAGCTCCCAGGCACACCACAGGCCACAGCCCAGCCCTGCCCAGCAGAGCCCCTCACAGCGGGGCAGAGGCCTTGACTCCAGGCTGGGTTCCAGAGTGCTGCCCCCAAAGCCCCTCCCCAAGCCTGCTGGAAGCTCCCACTAATCTAAGGTTACGGTTACACTTAGGGTTAGGTTTAGGCTTAGGGTTAGCATTAGGTTTGGGCTTAGTTTTAGCGTTAGGCATAGTGTTATTTTTCATGTTTGAGTAAGGCTTAGTTGTTAGGGTTAGTGTTAGGGTTAGCCTCTTTAGGGACAGAAGCTGAGCCACGCCTGTCAGTGTCACCACCCGAGGAGTACTCTGGCTCCAAGGGACCCAGGACTGTCTGGAGTGTGGCCATTACTGTCCGCAGCCTGGCCAGAAGACTCTAAAGTAATTCTACTCTAATTTCTATGTTTTAGAAATTAGTAATGCTCCCTTCTAGAAATAAAGATAACAGGATGAAGACTATCTCATGCCATCTATTCCTGTTTAATAATGAAATACACTTTGGGTTTCAACATAGGAAGTGATATTAAAAAGTCAAGGGATTTATATTAAAAATCTTAAAAGCTTGAACTAGAGGTAACCTCTTTTCATGAAATTTGTTAGGGAGCCCTTTTTGATTTTGATAGATAATATTCAACACTAGTCTGGAATATGTTCCTTAGTCTGTTGAGTTGTAGCTTTTGCTAAGTTAGAATTGTTTTGATGGATTTTTGTTTAAATAAAAGGACAGAATGAATGAATCTGAAGTGGTTTTTATTTTCATTGCCCTGTAGTCATTGATTTGGGGGGAAATCCTGGATCTTAAAGCCTTTTGATCCCCAGGATGGTG